AATGGGTTTTTTATAATTGACACTCCCACTTTCCTCAAATTGGTGTAATAAGCGCTTAAAAACTGTTGGCTTAGGATGATTTCCTTCAGGAAACTTTTGAGCATAAACTCGAGAAGCCAATAAACAATTTTTATGACATTCTCCAACGGTGAAAATCATGCCAATACGCTCTTCTCTTGGATAATTCTTCATTTTCACTTAGCAACACAATAATAATATTAAAATAACGACCAACACGAAATTTATTCTACGGTAAAAAAAGCATATGATAAGTTGCTGACTACAGTCAGAGCAGAGAATTATGCTCGAGAGATACAAAAGGATACAAAACTCGGACAATGAAAATAAATGCATGTGGACTATTTATAATGAAATATCAGGTAATTCAAGCAAGCACGGTGCCATGATTGATGGAGAGCCAGACGAATTATCGAACAGATATAACGAGTTCTTATTAGAATCCATTCCAGATCTAATAAAAAAAATTCCCGATATTGAATGGACTGACAATATCCAGGAAAATCGTAGATCCATATTCTTAAAGCCAGTCAATCAACAGGAAATATTGAAATTAGAGCACAGAATTAAGAACAAACATAGTAGTGGTGACGATGAATTGCCCACAAGTCTTATGCGTCAGATCATTCTGGCTATAACCCAGGTAATTTGCTTTGTCATAAATAACTCACTGAGAGAAGGAATGTTTCCTGAATCTCTAAAGTTGTCTGACCGGGTACATGAAGGGACGATCCACTCAAAATAATACTTTCTAAAAATCAAACGGTTTAGCCGCAAACTTCCGTGCCGTATAGCGTGAATAACCCTGTATACGAAAATGACCCAAAAGTCCCTCCCAAAATGTTACGCATGAGCTTACAATTAAGACACCTTTTCGACAACAAGATCCAGTACCGACCAAAATTTGTACATAATCTGACTTTTATTTTTCAAGTTCTTTTTCTTTAGGTCAAAACTCCCCTCTCCCTTAAAGTAAAAATTTCTGATCACTTTTGTGTCAATATCCCACAACTTGGATGAAAAAACCAAAAAATCTGGAACCCATCTATTAAATCACAGTCGATTGGATCGTTCTTCCGTCATCATCATCATCATCAGACAAACAAATATTGAACGTCGTGCTTTATGACACGCCCGGTCGTAGCTCGGCGCGCTTTCCGATTGGCTGCACACTTTTACCTCCTCCTTGGGTTTGGTACCGTGTCGTGCGCGAACAGAATTCGGCGGTACCGGAGCAGAGGTCAAATCGTGCCGTCGCTATTGGCAACCGAACCCGATTTCGGCTAGCCCCAAAACAGGTGCCGGCATCCGCTAATCACATATTCGACGCCTTCTTTTCGTTTATTGGTACCCGAGTACCCGTCGGAGTCTGCTGATAATTAGTGGCAAAAGACGCAGCAGCACGGCCGGGATTCATTGTGTTGAGGCTCAAACGCGAGGTGGCAGTACCCATCAGGGACCCAAAAGTAAAACAATAAGAACCGAAAGTACCCGGTCATGCCGAGTCATCAAACCGTATCATTTGGCATCCTGTCCGGTACGGCCGTGGTGCCGTCAGCCAAAGAGGACGAATAATTTCACATTAACTGGGATTTTTCAGTTCCCCATTTGATCGTCGTTGCCCCCTTTTATGTCTAGACACAAAAATCTACATACAAAGTCATTAATTAATTGGAAAACTTTTGATTCTTCCAAGTAGTCATGATGAACCACTTGCAAAGCTCGTCTCTTACTCTCAGTTGGGTACGATTTATATTTCTCCGAAAAAAACTGTTTTAGTGTTTACTCTAGTTGAGCCGTTGCTTGTTCAGTTCCGTCAACCCAAACCGTCATCGTGAACCCGAGAATTATGCTCCTGGAGGGGTTAAAAAGCACTTTAAGCACCCAAAAGAACCCCCCACTTACCGTAACAGGTGCACCACAATTTCTTCAAGCATAACAGAGTAACTCGCTACTCACTGACCGGTACAGTCGCTTGCAGTACGTCAGAGGTACCTTTTGCTCTTCTGGTTCCGTTTCGACGTAGCGATCTGACGGAACCTCGAGTTCGAAGCGGGAAAGTGACTTTCTGGGGAAGTTTTTTGGTGCGATTTGCCAATCGCCATGAGAGCGGGCGGGCGTTTGAATTTTCATCCCGAAGTTCTTCAGCTAGTTGCCTGTTGATTCGCTGGAGAGTTCAACGGGCGATGTGGTGACAAACGGTTAACAAAATCGTTGGTTCCATAGTCGCATGACTAACTGTTAGGACATGATTGTTAAATAAACTTTTTTCCTGATTTAACTGAAACCTCCCAGTACGACTTGGGATTGTTTAAACTTTGAACCAAAGGCTAGAAAATTGAAATTGTTACTTAAATAGTTTAGCGCCAGTGTTTTCTCTATTGTGCTTTGGATACTGAGGATATACTTTGTGTGTGAGGCGAACTCAGTTTTGGTTCCAGTGCGTTGTTTTTCCACCAGGTATGTGTTTGAACCCTTTCACCTTTTCTTATATAAACCGCTCGAAAAACGTTGGTCGCTAAATTCAATTAGTTGAAATACCGAATTTAAACGCAATCGCTTTTTTTGCCATAACTCAATTATCTAAATTTCCTTATAAATGCAGAGCGCTTTTTCGGTCGCCAACCGAATTGAGGTCGATTTTGCTCAATACGGCCCGATTAAAAAAAAACTGTTGATAAACGTGACTGAAAATAATAATTAAAATTCAATAGACGGTAGGCAGATTAATAAAATTTCTGATATAAAAATTCAATCATTTTTCAACAGATCAAAGTGTGCGGCAAAAACTATTCAATTTTCGATTTTCGGGCCTTTTCGAACACGAAAACGTGTCCGAGACTCGTGGATCGTCGAATTATTTGGCTGCGTTTTTTCCCGCTGGTTCGACCACAACTTCAGATTGTTCGAATTGGGTTGTCACGGGATATTTTTTAAATGATTTGTCGAAACACAAACGACCCAAGAAAAAAAGTTCCATTTCGAAATGTACATCAAGTACTTGTGAATGTGAATTCGAAGACAACCAGGTGCCTAAGAACTTCTTTTTTCTTCAGCTTCTCACCGAAAATATATTCGTGGATACAAATAATTGCCTGGTTTTTTCTTGTTCTGGTGCTCTTATCGATAATTTGATATCTTCATCACTTGTAGACGGTCGTTTGACAGTGTTAGAAGCGGAAATGTTTAAAATAAGCTTTGTATCAGTCAAGTTCACTTGTTATCCGTCGCCCCCATATTCATTGCGTCTAATGGGGGAGATATGGCGAATTACTTACGCAGGTGTCAAGTTCGCTTACATGGTAGCTTTTGCTGATGATTATCACGAGTGTTTTCACCGATTTTTCCATTAGTTTAATGACAGGCTTTGTCGCATTTAGCTATTCACTTTCCTTGGTTTTTAGGCAGTTGCTCTGTGTTGTTTTCGACTTTATTGTGTCTGCTCGATTATCGTTACATCTCTTTCATTTGCGTCATCTTCTTTTGAGTTTTGCTACTTTTAATAGGACTAGGGCTTGAGTGGTAAACAATTATTGAATGCAAAGAAAATCAATATAATTGGGAAATGAAATATAGGAAAATTTACTGCTGTTGACTGTTGAAAGGGTGAACTTTTTCGGTAATTATTTTATCATGAGGTGAAGGGTAGTTTATCTTTAACATCTAGAACAGGACGATTTTTTGATCTAAATAGATTGCTACAGATCGAAGTAGTTTTCCAATATATATGCATATAAAAAGTATTTGGGTCTATAACAAAGAAGCAATTGCTGGTTAAAATTTCTGATCGCTCAAAAACAGTTTAAAATGGCCCAAAAAAGTCCGTTAATTCGGGTTTTCTTCTAACGTGTTTTTCGATGAGCCAATCACATTCTCCATTTCTTTGAGACGAAAATGGTGTAGACTTCGAGGCATTTTTTTCAAAAAAATTGACCCTCACCCCTATGAGTTTTTCACTCAAAAATCTAAATTTCACATGTGTGATTTTTGAGCTCAATGGACTGTTTCCATATAGGGAGCTTCCCAATATACTTACATAAAGAAAGTGTTGCGGACTATAATAAGGAAGATATCGCCGATTAAAGGTTTTGACCGCCCAAAAACAGCTTAAAATGGGCCATAAATATCGATTATTTCGGATCTGCAGCTTTTAACGTGTTTGTCATTGTTCTCATCACATTCCCCACTTCTTTGAGACTGAAATCGTGTAGAATTCGAGGCATTTTGAGAAACTTAATTTTTTTGTGAAAAAATCGAGCCTCACGTCTTAAGAATTTTTGGTCTAAAATAAAAATTTCACATGCGTGTTGTTTAACTCAAAGGACTATTTCCGATCCAGGAATCTTCCCAATATGCATAAAGAAAGTGTTGCGGACTCTAATACGAAGATATCGCCGATTAAAGATTTTGAACGCCCAAAAACAGCTCAAAATGAGCCATAAATGTCGTTTATTTCGGATCTACAGCTTCTAACGTGTTTGAAAATGAGCTCATCATATTACCCACTTATTTGAGCCGAAAATGGTGTAGAATTCGAGGTATTTTGGGAGACTTTATTTTTTTCGAAAAATAGAGCCTCACCGTTTCGAAATTTTCGGTAAAAAATAAAAATTTTACATGCGTGTTTTTTGAACTCAAAAGACGAAGTAATACGAAACTATCGCCGAATAAAGATTTTGACCATCCAAAAACAGCTTAAAATGGGCGAAAAATATCGATTTTTTCGTCTCTGCAACTTTAAAGGAACATCAATTCTACATTAAACTCGACAAGTTTCAGGTTCTTTAAATTTTTAGCTCTGGTCATTTAAAATGTGAAAAATTGCGTTAAAAACTGATCGAATTTGAACGTTTCAGAAAAATGCGAAGAATAAACAAGGCACCGAAAAACTGAGTAAATTTTTGAAGCTTGTACAATCTAAGTATGAAAAATCACGAAATTCATAGAGACTTGAAGCAAAAATCAACTTTCTATCGTTAACTATTATGTCGAGGCTTGAAACTGTTGGAAATTGTCGAGAAACGAGAGTAATTCGGTATTCAAAGGACGCAATCAAGCTGGGCACGAAGGAAGGTGATTTTTTGCGAGCCCCGGAACATAGTTGCGAGAATTCGAGATTAAGATACACTTTGCTCCTTCGGTATTGTTTAACAATAGTAACTGTATGAATAACAAATTCGCCAGTCTCGAATACAATAACGGCCACCAGAAGCACAACTTTATAGAGATATGGTTCGATTTTTTCCGACTTGAATAATCCATACCGAATGAAGAACGGGCTGGGCGAAATTTCAGGAAAATACCGAAATGAAATATCGGCTATGACCGGACAACAGATAATGGTAATTACGATGAGAAGAGCGAGGCCGCCGCATTAAAATCCTTTGCACTAATGCGTTTTGTCATAAAGAAATAAAGTAGTGTTAACGGTCGCACAAAAAACCACTTGAAATAAGTTGAAAGTTATAGCATGTTATTACATCTCTCTGTTGAGGCAAAACGAAATAAGCTCAAATATGTGAAAGTATTTAGGTAATTTGACTGGAAATTTCTTCCGTTTTTTTCTCCCCGGCCCAAGTCCGAGCTTTTTTGATTAATTACGTTCCGAAAGATTGTAGCTTTTTGATTACTCATAGTAATTAATATCGCGGACGCTGGAAACCCGTTATGAGTTCTGATATTCACTTTAATAAGTTTTCAACTACTCGAAAGATGTGTGCCCGATGCAAAAACTCCATCCGATTGCAAAACACATCAACATGTTGTGGGTAATTTACTACCGCATACGGCTCGCCATTATCCGAAGGATCTGGGTCTAAAAAATCTATTTAATCAATGATATTGTGCTTAAAAACGTTAATTTGCATCAGACCATTGTATGTTGCACCCGCCAATTAATCCCTGTATGTTTACGCGAAGAATAGTGATAAAGCTCTCGGCAATACAGTTATTACTTGTGGAAATCACCCCGATTGTTATTAAGATCTAGATTTTTACTTCATTACGAATGCCAGTCGAATCCTGAGAGAATGTATGGTACCATCAAACTAAATAGCTGACAGAATCATCATAAATCTTTGGAATAGTGAAGTTCTTTGCAGTTTCATGTGGCACTGAAAAAGAGTATTTGATTGATTTTCTTACAGCTTATTAGTGTTGGATGGTTTTGCCTCAGAATCAGTTACTTGGATGTGGGTTTCAATCCTATTATTTGAACCAGTGCGATGCTTTTACTAGCTCATATTTTTTAAATTTAAATTTCTTGTTTTGGATCCGGCGAGTTTGTTTTTTGCAGGAAATCTTCGGCTCCAGTGGCCATCAAGAATTCTACTCGCTAAACTCCAACTCATCTTGCGCGGTTTATTTTCGAAAATATTGCCACTTCAAAATTGCGATATTTGATGAATTAGTTTCAAAATAACCGACTCGACAAAAAAGGTGATTCGAACGTATCGCTAATAATTCAATGTGTGCATACTAAATCATTTACATTTAGCGGGAAAGCCTGCACTGATAGCAATAATTCCTCGATCAATCGATCGTCAAACGCATTCCCGAGCCATAATTGAAAATTCAAAGAACCTAGAGTATCTCTAAAGATATCTTTTAATGCACGTTGCACGTAGATTGAATCTTCAACACGTGTTTTTAACAATGGCAGCCTGTAGAATTCGAAATGCCTTGCTGCGTTACATTTCAGGAATATTTAACATCGGTTTCCAACTTTTCTTAATTGCTTCGAAGGAAAAGTGACTCGCTTTGAAATTGGCTCCGATTCAAGTTTTACAAAAGAACATTTTACATTTTTTTCCAGCAAAACAGCAAATTTACCTGTTCCTAAGCAAAAGCCGTCTGTAGATATGCGTTTTTTTAATGAAACCGTCTTGGTCTAAGCCACATTCATCATTGTCTCAGCACAAGCCCAAGCCATCAATCCTAAATAGAAAAATCATCCTTTGAAAGTTCACATCAAACAACATATGGCGTTGATATTAAACCATCCTCCCTTGCAACCCTCCGATTATTTTCTTTGTGTTTACCTGTCAGCTGGTAATTATTCTTGGCAAAGGACGATGTCTTTGCCGTCAACAGTTGCGGTTTGATGCAAAGCCCGCCCTTATGTTGGCTGGATCGTTATTGATAATTTTGCGATCGGAAACTGTACTGATGGTACCGTACCAGATCTGTCACAGTGTCGACAAGATATCCAGCAGACTACAAGGCTTTAAAAGTGAAACATCGTCGCACAGATACCAGGTAGGCTCATATGGCGCGCGCTAACCATATGGTAGTGGCCCGTAATGGTCAGAAGCCCATAGTTTACGTCTATACCGATTAGATGCTGAGAGGCCAACATCTCACATTTTATTCCTTAACGATTCTTAATGAGTTGTATGTTTGAGTTAAGCGCCGCTCGTTAGAAGTCTGTTCTCACTCAGAGCTGAGCGGCTTTCACTATT